GGCAGTCTAAATTGTTACCTGGATTCCGATCGTTTTGGTTGGGAATATATGCCGACAATATAGGCCTGATAGAAAACTAAAAATCAAATGCGAATTCGATTAGCCTAGTGTTTACACAATAGAAGTGCTTGTTTTGTGTTGCACTGTTTATCTATTTTTGGTACTATTGTGGCCCGCGACCAATGCCAAAATAATTTTGTGGCCCGCGGAGCCCACAACCTTGGACCACCCTGATTTAAGGTATAAATCTCATATCAGGATATCACGCGATGATAGGAAATGGCCAAGTATATATATTGACACATAACAGGCTTCATCCACAGGAAGTCGAAAGAGGATTAAGGGTTTGAATACCGTTTTTCTTCGAAAATAAGACAGGGTCTTATTTCAATTTTCTTCCGAAAAATAACACTAGGGCTTATTTTCGGAGAGATGTCTTATATTTTCATTTATCAAAAACAAAAATACAAAGTGGAATATTACGAGATTTACAAATATTCAAAATATTAAAACCGATATCCATTTACTTATAACATGTTTTTATTCAAAATAAATGCAAAACATAGATTATTAATCATTTTAAACGTGTAGGAGAGATTTCCTGCTATCGACTTGTTCGAAGAAAAATTCGCGTTATTGACTAGGTCATATTTTAAAGGGATTATATTAAAATCAGTTTTAAAATTCAGGCTAGGTCTTCTTTTCGGAGAAACACGGTATTACAATCGAATTATTTGATGGTGAAAAAATGAGAGTTCTGATCAACAGATGCTGATATTTTAGAAAAAGTCACCAATAACGGTGCGATATTCACAGTTCTAAAGTGCTAAAATTGGCAATTGTTTTTGTCAGCTTGCCGTAGTTGTTTGGGCCGTAAACATCGCGATTATGTTGGTAAATTGTATTTATTTTGTCCGGAACTTTGCGTTCAGTGTGATAAACTCGTTATTAAGCGATCATCGGTGGCGAGGGGTTATGTATAAATAAATGAGTAATACTCAACTCATTTCCGACTGAAATCAGGAAGTAAGCATACTAAATATAAAAACAAAACAAAAAAGATGCCCGTGACAGATAAAAACGCTGTTTTATGCACTGCCCTATCACCAAAATTATATATCAGAAAAACTATAGTCTACCGCAGGGGTTCTCAAACTTTTGATGTTACGGAGCCCTTGAAGAGGTTGACCATTCTTCACGGAGCCCCACAAATAAATTTTGAAAATAAAGCAGACAAAAAATACATGTTGATATTTAGTGATTAATATTCCTGAGTACGTTAAAAATTACTTGCCTAATTTAAATGCTAAAACTTTTTATTCTAAATTGCACGGATAAATTATACATATTAGGCCTGTAAATTTGACACACATATTAATGAATACTCTTTTGATATTTTGGAAGAATGAAGAAGTCGCTCATAACATGCGCGATAGCATTTTGCTGCAATCACCGATTGTTTTCGTAGCGATGCGTGTTTTTTAGTTAGACCCTAACATCTATATGTGGTGTTTATTCTCCCTAATCACACATTTTTCTTGCTTGTTCCGCGAATGCGATAATTACGTTTTTGTCTTTGTGCGTAATTGTGAGTTTAGTATGGAAAACAAGTTAATACAATATAATCATCGGCGACGAGATGCTAAAAATAATTAATAAGGGGGTGAATCAGCAACCCCAATTTCTTGATTGGAAAGCGGTATTATAAAATACTAAAACGGAAGAAAACATGATAATTTTTATTTTAGCGGACTCGCGACAGATTAAAAACGCTTTTTTAGACATTGTGAATCACAAACTTTGATGTTATGTTAGGTTATCAATGGGTGTTGTACCGTAGTTACTGAAATCAATACAATAATTGTGCGCCTCGATGTACCTTTTTATCCATTCTGAAACTACCGACGGAGCAAAATGCGACTTTTTTCGATATGTGACGATATACAAGATAATCATAAAGATTATATCAATTAATTTGGTATTGAAAACAAAATAAATTTTCATGCTTTCTTTTTTCGTTTACTTGACTTTATTGTTTCTCCTTTGAGGTCCGCGAATTGGCGTGGTAATTGTGGGTGATAATGATTTTATATTGTCGTAAGTCAACTCATCCACAGGTTGAATTGAACACAGTGAACAGACAAACAAGGCATTTGAACATGCGCGCATTGGTCAAGGATTCCGCAATTGTGAATTGTATTCATTGAGATATGAGAACAACTCAATTTGATGAATCCCAAGATAGCAAAAACACGATTCCAATCTATTTATAATTGGCAGTTTAGCACCTATTTTAAGTTATTTTAGGTCGGGCCTGAAATGTCAATCGTTACGTTCGGGTCGGGCTTCTCTATCGCTGACTTTTTTTTTAAATGAGGCGTTTCGGCCGTGTTTTGGCCACGGTCCGCAAAAAACACAAGTTGCCTTATCAACACGACACATACTGTACTAAACTCTTGCAATGACACGTCAAAGAACTCCTAAATAAGATATGAAAATTTCGGGTTTGCTTCGGTCTCGGGCCTGCAAATCCAGTCGGGCTTGATACCCACGGGCCTGGTTGCTGGAATTTTTGGGTCCGATCTTACTTCTGACTTATCCACTGAAAAAGTTTATTTTAAACGAGTGACCTAATCGCGAATAATGTTGCCCGGGAATTTCCAATTTCAATTTTGAACCCTCTCCCCTCTCTTAAAAAATTCTGACTGCGCTTCTGCATCTAGATGCTGTCAAATTTGAATTACCACCTCGTTGCCATATTTCGACTCTACTGTCGTTAAATTTTATTATCGGTGTTTTTGCTTAGCAGTTACAGAATAACCAAGTCCGTATTTTGATCGAATATCTCGCGGAGCCCCTAGGTTTCTCTCGCGGAGCCCTGAGGCTCCGTACGGAGCACTTTGAGAACCTATCACTCTACCGTGATGATAAACTGTAATGTATCAAATTAAACTGTACTCTATGTATCGCAGATGTCTAGATTTTTCTAAGGGTGACAACGATTCGCAAGATCGCAAAAATAAGAATCAAAACTAAATATAATTAGGCATTTAACGAGCTACTTTTTGCTATGATAGTCTAACTATCCCTTCTATCGTTGGCAGTCTTCTTTTCTCTATCTCGTTGAACTTCAAACACATAATATGATACATTGGATGGATTCCATCGCAATTGACTGAAAGTCGCGAAGAACCAGAGCCCTACTACACGAAGATTTAATACGGTTCAAAATTAAAATGAAAAACAAAGCGCAACGTACACAAAGAGGAACTTGCTTTATATTGAATGAATCAATTATAATTAAACAAATTCTGTAATTATGATGAAGTATTATTCTCACAGATAGGTTTTGACCAAATCCCGGCCCCGCCACTATCATTTTCGTGTCGATCGAATCCTGGCGTGCTCGCGATTATTTATTTAACACTGAACCTGTTGAATCATTTTATATTCTACTATTACTAATAATATAATTTGGGGGGGGGGGGGGCGGTAACAGACTTCGATGGTCCCAATATGTCGTACCGTTGCCTCCCAGTCATACAGCTAAGCATCTGTCTATTTATTATTTTCAGTCATTCCACGCGGAAAAATTAAATGTGAATATTAATAACAATAGTCACGGTACGTTGGGAACACTGACATGCATCAGTGTTTTGAGAAGCAGCTGGTCGTTCAAGCTCAGGCTGTGAAGTCGTGTTGACGGTTTGGTGCTCTCTGTATGGGTTTTTAACTTGGATATGAACTTAAGTCGCAGCGTTTGGTCGTTAGGAACCAGAGTTTCTAATTTGGGACTAAGCAGTTTTAGCACCTGGACGAGTTCTATAGCCAGAGGATTATGTTCTGTCTTGCAAAAGCAGCCTTCAAATGAGAGATTTATTGACGGAAACCAACCTAATCTCTTAATTCAAACACTGAGACATAATAAAAGAGGTAATCTATGGCAGTATGGTGATTCTAATATACTCACACATAGGTTTGGTTGATTCATTGAGGGTTTTCTCGAATTCCAATTATTTCCATATAAATATGCATATATTTGAGGGGAATTGGAGTACCAAACTCTGGCTGAAAATATCCCGTTTCATCTTTAGTAATCCCTATTTGCTTGCATCTGCAAGTATCCTTGTATCTGATTAATTTGCATGGGTTTACAGGTTTGAAATCAGGAGGATAATTACAGAATTATGTGAGCGCAGATCAGTCTGCCACATTGTTGCCTGCAATATGATTAATCATCCTAACCCAGAATAATTATGAAATATCCATAAATTTGGTTTCAATTCCCACTGTGTTTCGACTTGAAATGAAGCATTGGGATGATCAGATATAGCAATATTGAAAAATTTACTATATCAAACATAACTAAAAATAGTTATGGATCTTATCAATTGTGTCTTCAATAGAGAACATACATATACACAGATCAAATATTTTAGAGATTGAATATTATGATGCAATGTTTTGTGTAAGATATCAAAAGCTAGTGATTGACTGATTTGAGATTTGATTTGCTCCAAGAACCAACCTCTGCGTTGATGAAACTATTAGGCTGTACAGCTCAATGACTAAACAAAACAGCTTTGAATCGTACTACTCCAGGTATTATGATAGTGATGTGCAGACCAGCATTGTCATATTTTGAATCTCAAATTCCAGATAATTATTGATATAATCACTATTTCTGCAGTTCCAAGCGGCAACTTCGCATGGAGGCATAAGATTATTAGGGTTTTCAGAGATTTGGAAAATAGTGTCAAAAATTTGAATTATTGTTTTTCCTGCTATGGTCTGAATCGCAAATAACAAGAACTGAAATTTGTCACTTAACAGACACAAAATAACAAATTTAAAATGAATCAAGTTGCGATAGTTTCATAAGTTAAATGGCATTGTGTATTTCTGACTCAGTTTTTATTTCTTTTTCCAGGTATGGACTACCGACCAAACAATCTCAAAAGAATAAAGCGGCATGGCAGAAAAAAAAGATTGAGCACAACTTCAGGAAAAATTATTTTAATCAGACGAATGATGAAAAACGTTAACCCAAGAGTTTTAACACATTGAACAATGTTGCTGTCTGAATTTTATCTCAAAACAGCATATCTGGTATAGGCCATTGGTATATAAGCAGGAACAGTGGTTCCTGTTTGTTACATTAGCCAGTGTATCACTGTCAACGTTTGCTATTAAATTAAATACATTTAATCTTCGTCAGAATCGCTGTCTTCCATTGACTGTTTAGCGAAATCTTCAGCATCTTTTTTTAACCTGGAGGGTACCATAGAATGTTTTTTCTCTGTGTCCATACCAACCCAGCTCAGTTGAAGATCGAAATCTTTATCTTTCACTTCATCATGGACAATATATATAATTTTTGCTGCCTCTTTCAACGCCTCCTTGCAGGTTATATTTTTAAAATCAATTTTCTCTATCTCTGTTTTCGCTGCTTGTTTTGCTTTTCCAATAGCACAGCCATTGTAACCCCAAGACACACCAGAAGGATCTATCATATGTAGTTCTGGTTCGTCCTCATTGAATGATGACATTAGAACACTTGCTCCAAATGGTCGATAAGCTCCATATAATGTGTAAAGATGCATGTACATTGCGACTCTGCGAGTAAGGTATTTGAGAGGGATTGGGCCACCAAACTCTGAACGATAGTAAGCCGCTTCATCTCTAGCAATTTCTACTATTTGTCTTGCATCTGCAAGTAGACCAGCAATCGCCATTCCCACGTGCTTATCGATGTTGAAGATTCTTAGGTTTGAATCGTCTTCGTGCAATTTAGATATAATTAGTTTTTCAACTGCCATAACCACGCCATCTTTACACTTGATGGCTATTGCAGTGCTGCTGTTTTCCACAGCCTTCTGTGCATATTCAACTTGAAAAATCCTGCCATCTGGAGAGAATTGATCAGCACTCAGATCGTATCCTGTTCCAATCGAACTCATAGCTAGCAAGGTATATTAACTGAAATGTGGCACAAATAAATTACACAGGGCAATTACTAATTAGCAATGTCATACCAAAAACACAGGTAAATTGTGCTTATTGACTACATGATATAGTCTATATCTAATATTTTACTGCATGTCTGCAGGCCATTGTTTCAATCTAGATAAATCTCTTGATGGGAATTTGGGTAAAAAGGGTCATATTTCACTGAATTTACAATTTTGGTGTAAAATTATAGATATCTCCCAGGAACTTGCACGATAAATGCCCTATTACGCTGGTTGAAAAGTCTTCTTGGGGAAGTGAATGGAACAAAGCGTTAAGAGTTCATTGAAAAATGAGTAATAATAAATGTCTGAAAACCGACAGTAGAGGGTGATAATTCCACTGGATAAAGTCTCAGCACTACTGAATGCTGTGAAGAAAGTCTCGTCGACACCTTTGTAAACCAAAGTTGGAAATATTGAAAAACATTGTCTAATACAGAGTATTTTAAACATTTATTATATTTTCAGATGTTGCTGTCTATTGTCTGATGTAGCAGTCAAGTGGCTCAACTTAAAGCATGATAGCCTATGAGGTACCGTAACCTAGTAAATAAGCCTACTGCTACACTTTGCAGCATGGTGGACTCAAAGTTACTGCTGGAACATAGTAAAAACCACTGCGTAGTTCTGTAGTACCGGTACCTATATTTAACTCATCTCCATTTCATAATCAGCATAGGCCTAGCAGACTTTTTCAATGTGCATTGAAACAATTCAAACATACAATAGGCCTAGTACGCGAACCTAACCAGACTATAAATTCATGAAATATTACCAATGAAACAAGCATTCAAGTCTCTGTCCATCTTTACGTCTATGTCAGAGCATCAATTCATTGTTACCGTACGTTATCTATATTGAGCTTTTTATTATATAAATGTTAGCCAAGCTGTTGTAAATAACTTTTTTTTTATTAGAGTTTTAAGCCTCCGACCTAGTAACCAAGTTTATTTTATTTTTTTAATATGCGTTAAAACGAAATACAATAAAGTTCAACACATTACACATCACCATCCAATATAATGCCCATCATCATTGTGGTTATTATCTGTAACTGGCTTTCTCATAAAAGTAATTGCTCACAAACGTCTGCCTGATCTAGTTGCAGTAAAGTAATTCCATAAGCAAGGTACGAAAATTAACAAACTGCCGAGTCATTTTTTTCTGCCTACGTCACGATACGCTTATGATTTCAGATTCGGATTATAAGTGTGCTTGCACTATGGTGCTTGCTCCAAAACAGAGGCGACCCATGTCTAAGACAAATTCAATAGTTACGAGATGCTAAAGTTTACCGACTTATTCTACTGCTGACACTATTTAATAATTATGTTTTCAAAACGTTTTGTTTAGGCCAGCGGTTCCCAAATGATGTGCCGTGAGTGTTAAACTATAGAGCAGTGGTTCTCAAACTTTTTTAGTCCCAGAGCCGCATTTCAAACCTCAAAGGTATGAAGAGCCGCTCACAAACAACGCAAGGTAAAATAGCAACAAACCTTAATCGCGTAATTAAAATACTAAGTCATCGTAACAACAACACACGTAACAACTAGGGCTGGGCAAAATTTTCCAATAATAAAATATTCGAATGGCATTTTACGATTCGAATATCCGGTACCACGTGACCTGCGCCGCTCTGCTTGGACATCGAACTCGAGCGTCTCCAACTCAATCGTGAATTGTGCGAGATTTCCCAACGGCGCTCGCTATCAGAAAAAAAAGGAAAATTTGAAAAGTCGTCTTTGCGTTATGGTGTTATATGCTTATTTTTGCACTTAACGTATCCTTTCAATTCATCATTTTGCAAAAAAAAAACGTACCGACCGTTCCGTAAATTTAGAAACGTCAAACCAGATTAGTCATTTAAAATAAATTTCCTAGATTTTAAACTCCGCATGCCTGGTGACATGTCATTAGCCATTTCTTGCATTACCGAACATAAAGTTGCTTAATATTAAATGTTAAAATGACTTTTCGGCGTTTCATTGTAAAAAAAGGCGATTTTAGGTCGTTAAAACACTCTAGTTATGTAAATAGCATGGATTTAAAAATGACCAAAAGTTTTTCCAAAAGCTGGTATGAGTTACTTGTATGGAAAACACTCATTAAGTTGTAACCAGATAAGAAATGTCATGTCCTACTCCCTTCAAAACACTTTGTATTAGCTCTTTAGTGATCCCTTCCATCCTTTGCCAAGTAATGTTTCGAATATGTAAACATTTTACTCGACCCTGCATGGCCGTTGAGCCAAGAGTAGAACGTAAAATCAATCGTGAATTTCGTTGTAACAATGCACACTGCAATGATTACAATTGTTAAATTTTGAAGCATTTGGGCAGTTAATTAAGCCTCAAGGTATGACATAATCAAAATCATTAAGTGAAGTGCTGAATTTGCAAATTCCGTAAAGAAAATTGAGCATTACTCAGTACGTATTTTAGCTATAATAACCATCGGGGTGTTGTTTTGTTGAAAAAAAAAACGTTAAAACTTATTAGGTATATATAATATTATATAAATTAGGTATAATTAGAGTCTGACCCTCTATTAGGCACAAAGGCCTAGAAATGCATTTATTGCCAATTTATTTAATCGCTATTTTAAATCAACATTCAGGATTCACGCAATCGTAAATTTGCTAGGTTTATCTATCTAATACTAAAATAACACGGACACCATAGAAAAGCATGAGAAACTTAAATATCATTATAATAAATATCTGCATCTCGGTTACCGTTCACTTTAAACATGCACGGTTAATTTACAAGCGGTGATACGGAAGATCGAATCCAAGGCAGAGGATAACCTTAGAATAGAATTAATTTGGTTTTGAAATCAGTCCTTAAATGTATTCAACAGCTGTCGCTGATGTGAACGCAAGGGTATACTAGAAATATGAAATTTCGATATTCGGCGACCGCTTATTCTTGCAAAACCGAGAAAGGGCGGAAATATAGAATACCAACTTTAGGATATCGCCGCCAAAACGATCGCGGTGACAAAGACAATCAGAAATTATTATAAAATTAACCATTGAAAAACGCTTTATTGACGACTTTTTAATGTTTCTATTAATTTTCAAATGGAGTATCGACCTCCGACGTTCTGGATCCCTGTTATGTAGTTTGAGAATCACTGCTATAGAGGGTCAACATTCATATCATTCTCTGTGGTTAAACATAACTAAAATATGATTGAATATCTACATATAGTATTTATTTTAAATGTTTTATTATTTCTTAAATGCTGAGTATATATCAATAAAAATATTTTACCTTTTTATGCCGTTCACCTTCTTTTACGTAGTGTATGTCTCTATTTACTGCAAATTTGTGAGCTGCAGTTTATTTATTTTTGGCATTTCAAAGAAAAATCAAAAAGACAGAGATGAGAAAGAAAAGTTAACCTTTTGCTGATCGTAAGAATGATAGTTCACAATCAACCCCAAATGTAGAATCTTTTTCAGAATCAAATTCTGAATACGTCGCCATGAATTTCACGGCAAATAATAGATAATTGTTTAAAAACTGGTTGAATGTGAAAAATGAAGTTACAATCACGAACGAAATTTTATGAAACACCAACAATACACGGAAGCACAATATGAATTCACGGCATCGCTAAAAGCCAAAACATTCAGACACGTTTTAGCCCTTTCCACGTACGCTGGAAGGGTCGGCAACAGTTTGTTGCTCGCAGGGCCAAATTGAATAATACGTGCATTCGTGGCTCAATGGAAGCCGTTCATCCAATATTCGCTAGATCTTTGTCCAAATAAAGTGATTTATTTTTTGTTGAGGTTTAATATATTTGCTTATACAATGTTCCCAACATATCTGTACTAATTACACTGAATATTACTTAACAATAAATTGAATTATTATTGTACTGTAAGATAACTAAACGACCGCGCAATCGTCTGAGAGTGAGTCTATTACCACCCAATTCGTACAGTATCAATCCAATTGTTTATACAGCACAAGTCGCAATTGAAATATTGGACTACCACATTTGACGGCAAGTTTCATATTTAGGGCAGCAAGACATGTACTGCCAATCAAATGCAATGCTATGTTATTAATTTAATTGTTCTTTAAATATGTTTATCTTTCGGAGAGAATTGATCGGCACTCAGATCGTATCCTGTTTCAATCGAACTCATGGCTAGCAGGTTATATTAACTGTAAATGTGGCACAACTGAACATTAAGTTCACACAAGGTAATTACTAATTAGCAATGTCATACCAAAAACACAAGTAAATTGTGGCGTATCTGCGTGTTGACCACATGATGTAGTCTACATCTAACAGTTTACTGCATATCTGCAGTTCAATCTAAATAAATCTATTGATGGGAATTGCACGTAAAAAGGGTTATATGCCACTGTAACTGAGTTTACAATTTGGGGGTAAAATAAGAGATATCTCCCAAGGACTTGCATATAATATGCCCTATTACGCTGATTGAAAAGTCTTCTTGGGTAAGTGAATAAAACAAAGCGTTGAATCGAAAATTGGTAATAAATGTGCCAAGAACTGTGTAAATTTTGTTATAAAAATTGCAGAACTCAAATTCAGCCCCCAGAAATCGAACGATGATTAGTAGGACTTTTAGTTATAAAATGGCTATGTCCTATTTTTGTAGGGACGTAGCCATTTTAGTAGGAACATAGTGAACATGTGGGACATAGTCATTTTATAACAACCCGTACTGAGAACTCGTCTGCGTAATTTTGCTATTGCCCATGTAAAACAAGAGAGCTAAGCTCAAATATATGGACACGTCACAAGGTGTCGCTATTTGTTATTCTGACACATAAAAAACGAATTTCTCGAAGTCCACAAATTTTTTTGAAATAAGTAAAAGTAATAGCCTTCTGGCGACAAAATCAATCTTTAACGGCATCAATCTTTATTTTTTGGTCTATGACATTTCACCAATTGATTACGAAATTTTTAATGGAAGGAAATTAATTCATGCCGAAAAATGTTTTCTCAAGAATCTCCATTAATGGATGCTCCCTCGTGTTATAATCAGTATTTATTTCATCACCTTAAAGAAAATACACTTTATTCGAACAATCGAAAGAAGACACTTGAATATGGCAAACGATACGTTCAGAGGTTGGTGACACTTGGGCTGTTGTTAACAGCAGTGTGAACTGAAAAACCTATACAAATAAATTGATAGAGTGCTCCATAAACATGCCAAATCATTATTTGGATTCAACGTTCACCAGGTATCACTCTCTTGGTAAATTGTTAACGCCACCATTGACATATTGCTGATGCTAGCCAATGCTACGAAAGTATCAAAGTGTGTCGATGCTCGGAGAAACCAATAGTTCAACGCTTATTATGAGAGAGATGGCGCTTACCAACTGCCTCACATGTACGAAATCATCATTTTATTCAATACATTAAATCAAGAGCTAATTTTGAGCTAGTCTGTCACAGCGTCTGTGATATGAATTCAAGATTATTGCAACTAAACTAAAGGTTCTCGAAAGACATGACGAACTATATGTGGAAACACAACTGAAAACTTGAATATCTGTCTGAGCGACCGCGCTAATTGCAATTGTTACGTAATTGCTGATTGGTCGCTGTTAAGAAAATAAACAAGTAAATCGATGCTCGAGGAAACATCCATAGCTATACTCAGGGTTACCAAATTTTTTTGACTTCAAAGCGGGACGCCTCCAAAGACACGACCACTTAGCTGTAATCATGTAGCTGTAACTTTACTGTTCCTGATTTTACTACATTGGCCTACATTTGAAGCCATCCCAGCTGTCTTCATTGACAATATTGTCATCGAGAGTTCATGTGCAAATATTCGCTGTCTAAATGTCTGTCTCGGTCTAAAATTGATTTTACATGTGATACGTTCGCTGACAATGTTAGCGGGAAACAACGAAACAAACAAAATAACAAAAATTTGGCTGACTTGTCGGGACGGCGGGACAAGACGCTAAAAAGCGGGACTTATGGTAAGAACAGCCATACTGTACAATTTTATTTCTTTCAAAAAATGAGGGCATTATTACCATGAAAACTGGTCGTATCGGGGTACACGCCTTTGTAATTTAAAAACGACTTGAAAATGAATAATAGTTGATGGTGAATAGACGACGATTTTAAACAGCCGAGATGGTCGCGGATAAAAAATCGAGATTTTAAGGGTCTTGTAAAATAGTGCAGTTCGTCTTAGTTCGACCAGTTTTAGCCAGACCGAGGGCCCCATTTTCAATTTCGAATCCAGAGCCAGAATATTCATTAACAAATTTGTATTTTCGGTAAATTCGGAGTCGTACGTATATAATTGAGAAGGCACATATAAAAGTAAAAATACAGAGCTTTAGTAATTTTCCTGAAAGTTGCGCACTTTTTAAAATAAACCAAGTCATCTGTGAACAGCGCCCTTGCTTGATGATTAACTTTGGTTCCCCGTGGCTTTCCTTTCCCAGTAAAATTATTTTATCGTCTTTTATGCGGATTACGGAGTCAAAACAAACTTATATGGAGAGCGGGGACTCTGCGTCTACTAGGTTTCTCTCGCAAATTTGAATCGGTACAGACCCAACTTAAAAAAAATCTATTTTTAGCGTCACTTGCACCTTCGTCATTCAATGCGATTGAGACTTTATTCCTATTGTGGCCATCAGTCTTCTGCTACGAATAATAATCCTTATATTTATTTACAAAAAATTACATTGCGTTAAACATGGAAACTCAAAACATAGCAGCCGTGTGCAAAACACGCTTATAATTTCATTGGAAATACAAAAAAATAGTACATAATTCAAATAATAAACTGCAGTGTCGGTAAGGGGATAATGGCATCCAAGATATATCATGTTATTTGGAAATTCAGAACAGTTTAGCTTGACTTTAGTTATGAAATAGCTTTGCAGGCAAGTATTCAACAATGACTCTAGTCAAATATAGCTAAAAACAAATGGCCAATAATGCAATTGAGGCATCATTGCTATCAGCATTCAAACAGACAAAATCACACAAGATTTTGGAGGTGACTTCCATTCCATAATGTAATTTACTAAATAGCTCTTGTAATATGGAAACTATCAGTATGTCATAAGTATATATATATCTGTTTGAAAATTGCAGAGTGGAAGAATATTTTTGTAAATATGTGAAAATTCTTGTATGCAACAAAACAAAACCATACTTATTGGTCAACGAGAAAAAGTGGAGAACCTAATAATTGAATGGAGCCAATTTCCACTCATTCATATGCTTACTCAGCATACTCCAGTTCACTTGGCAAGGACGAAAAATTTATCATCCAAGATTTGAGGTTCTACAACAAATTGGCAACAGCAGAGGTCAAGCATACCATCATCTGATAGCATGAATTTGAAGTACAGAATTTAGTGAAATTAGGCATTGTTGGTGCTCAATTAGAATACATAGTATTAGTCATAATAATATGTGATATGATAAAAACGAAAAGCGTAAAATGGCACCAGACACAAAATTTTCCATTTATTACACAGACCTTGGATATCCATAGATTATCATAATCATTTAGTTCAATATGAATACAATTGAGTATTATTTCGAAACTTTGCTGGAAATCATACCAGTCATACATAATTGTTTTTCAAGAAAGAGCAAAGAGCTGAGGTATAGTCTACTGTAAACATTTTTTCTATTTTTCTAAAGGGAGGAATAAAACTCTGTGGTGAAATTCTTTGCACAACAGGCAGTAATCTGATTAATAACTACATATATAATAGGAAGCAAGCAAGGCCGAAATAATTAGATTTTTACCCACGCCAAAACATCAACCTCCATGGCTATTTTTTTTTTCACTTTGTCGAACAAATCATGGATCAGGATTTACCAATACGAGACTATACAAAATCATATCCACATATTCCAGATAGAATAAGTAAATGGCTGGACTTGTTTCATTATACTTACTACAGATTTTTAGGTGAATTTCGCGCAGCGCGTACATACCAACATGTTAAAACTAAAGTGCAGTGGTATGACTTATGTGAATTGAATCAAAACAGTATGTGTATTCTAGCATTAAGTATATTTCGCCCATGGCCTGCATCTGCAAAGCTAAGAATTCAATAAACCAGGAGATCTGAGAACACTCGCTTCAAGTTGTTAACAGTCCAATGCGTTTGATAGTCTCCGAGTTTGAAATTTCTTTCCATTCTCAGTGTTGGATGATTTTAAGAGACACCAGAATGATAGGTGGATAAAATTCTTCCTGTACTGTAAATTTTGTATAAAACCCTTATAATACTACCAGCAATGTTTGTCGTGACATGAATAATCCTCTACTCAACTAAGTTATTATGGCAAGAATTCATTTTATTTATATTAGAGATAAAACCATTCACACCCTCTCTGGTGAAATTCTCAAGGAAGTGTATGTATGCTAATTCAGGTAAACAACTTTCAGAATTGACAATGCAAAAATTCATCTTCTACAATGCAGATTATCAAGTATTTGTTCTTGAATCTTATGGTGAACAACACTGAACTTTATTTCGTGAATCCTATTTTCAATAGGAATTATTCTGATGACAAATTACAGAGAACAATCATCTTGGCAATGGTTGGCCAAGATATATTTTTCCAATATCAGGCGCAGTATAAATAGGTGCTTTTCTGTAGTGTTCAATTAATTCGTCAACGGAATCAAACTTTCTTTGTCCTATGCAGTATTTCCCACTTCTTAGTGACACTTTAAAATGTTTGATTCTGTCTGGTGCTTTCATTGATACTGAAAGATCCCCGACCTAAATGGACAGAACATTAATATGAAACTGACAATGGAAATACATTAGAATAAGGACTAATGGACTATTATTTCATCACTATCAGGAAATGAAAATTATACAAAGCATAAAACATCTTTACCAAACAATAGTAACCCACCCATCAAGTTAATCTGAACAAAATAGCATCCTTTTTCGAACCAAGTGAACCGAACCACAAACCAATGCGAATAATTTATAAATAATTTCCTCTAGTTGCCCTATGTTTCAATCAACCTCCTGGTAGCATGGATATACAAAATACAACACTATTCTTAATGATCTGATGGTAAAAAACTAATTCCAAAACCACAGTAAAAACCATGGATTGTTCAATTGAGCAATGAGTCACATGACTTTTGTGACCTAGTGACATATTAATTTACTGATGAATTATCTTCCCTGTATGTGCTTGACTTTATAAAGATATTGTTGGCATGGATACATACTTCAATACCAGACTGAATTTGTGAGTATCTTGGTTGAAAATATACAAAGGCTTGCGTGAATAAGTGGTTTAAAATAACTTTAGGTTTGGACTAGACCTGCATTTCTGACAACCAGGACTCAAGAGCAATTGAATATATATAAAAAGGGGCATTAAATGTTACAAAATTGATGTTCGGGAATCTGAATAATAGTCAATTATTACATTAATTATGGAGATAAAAGTAAAATATCGAAAAAAATATTAGGCACTCACTGTTGATTCGCTATCTCGAACAATAAATTCAGAATTGCCGGCACGATGAAGCATACTTTCGGCTACAGCTCGTCGCACTGATCCAAAGTACCACGGTTTTGCAGACATGTTATATGAGCCATCACCATTACCAGCATTCTAAAACAATATGATAGAAAAAAAAATTCAAATACTAAGGCAGCACGAATAATTTCAATATAGATTATAATACACACAAGTACAATAGAGTTTCTGCATATTATTTTAGAGCACAAACAAAATGTAAAGGTAATTTCAACAAGTCGTGGGCGCACATAAACATTTTTTAACAATGCAACACCCACACCAGAAACTGTGCATGAGTTGGTGGATGAGTCAAGTACTAACACCATTCAAGCGGATGGAGATTCAAGTCACCATTAACCAACAGCTTGTTACACAATATCTGCCACGAAACCCGTTATAATGTAATAATATTGATGTTAAAATGTGCTGAACAGAAAATTTGCAAAATAAAATGTAGTTTCAAATTATAACTTGTATATAAAATTGGGTGAATATAAGTTTGACAGATAATGAAATAAATAAGTAGTGATTTGAAAATCAGTATTTAGTATTAACAATACATATGTAACACACTAGGCATTGTTCAATAAAAAAAGATTGAATTTGTAATACTGGTAATCAGCGGTCAGCAGGTTCATCTGTAATATAGCCATTGCACAAGAGAATATAAAAAATTAACCAAGCGTTCACTGCATTCAGTTTTTACAAAACTTGGAAATAAGGAAATTTTGCATTGGGAACTTCGCAAAATTTAGTATAATATATTCAATCTGGGATTCTTAATAACAGAATGGTAACATGTTTATATCAAACATATTGAATAGGCAATCACATCAACGCATATCAAAATTGTATATAAAATTTTTGGAATTAATATCACCGGTTCAGCTAAATAACAATTTACAGTAAGCAAATTTCTTCCCAACTCTTAAAATTGCAATTATTGAGTAATCAATAAATTGGTTTTATGTTTTGTTATAGTTATAGATATCACAATTAATGTCTCACCACAGAAGGAGAATTCCCAGATGATAGGTCTTGTGAAACGTCATCATAATTAGTTACTTCTGGTAAAAAGACAGAAGGAGCACCAGGAACAGCTTCAATATAATTCCGCGGTACGAGACCAGTTCGACCTTCAGCATTTCGCGCCTCGTACCATTCCGGATCACTTTCTGGTTTGCTTATGATGTCAAACATATCTCCTGCTTCGAAGGGCAGCTCTTCATCATTACCAGAATTGAAAGGATAAAGGGCTCTGGCAACTTCTAATACTGGTTTTGCAGCACTTACAACTGTGTTTCCTGATACATGATTATTATGCATGTCCCCACCGCTAGGCTCCATACTCTCTTCAACATAGTTCGAAGGGAACCAACCAACATCACCATCCGTATTTTTACCTTGCCACCAACCATCGTTTTCTTTTGAAATTACGATTACACTCATTCCCTTGATAAGACTGAGTTCGTCTTGACGAGTGGAACTATAGTTATATTTAGCGACATATGTTTCGTCCATTGTTCTATCGTGAACCGCTGTATTTGAAAATTTTCTTATTCCATCACCTTCTGAATTATTTGTGCTATTTAACCCTAAGGGAGGACGAGATGATGGCACTGAACTTCCAGTTGGTGCTGCTCCTCCACCTTTTCCTTTTCTCGTGCCAGGAAATCTATTTGCTGAAACAATAAGATTAAAATAAAAATTAGAAAGCAAAAGGTGAAGTTGGAGGAATTTGTGAATTGTAAATTCTTTCCTACAAAATTAGCTACAAAATTTTTTTGAAGAAAGTAGCAGAGAACTCTCGGTATATTCTGATTTATTGTAATACCAAAGAATTAAAGTGATGAGCCTTCAACATTTGAAAACAAAAAATTATATTCATATATTCAAGTAAGCTAAGTTTAGACATATGTATCAAACAACATATGTATTTGGTCACCACATTTAACAAATGAAACTTGCATTTTTCAAATTTATAATACATAACCATGCTTCCTTCCTAAGTGTTAAACCATCTGTGCCAATGTTAATATTATGTGGGATATTCTATATATGATTCAATTTACATTTTGGGCATAATCTGTATCTAGAATACTATGCAAACATTTCATCTATGCTTTTCTGTTTTTTGTGGCCCTTTGAACTTTGGAACAGCATATTTACCAATCCTCCCACATTCATTTTATAGGGGTATTAGAAAAATTTCCAATTCATTGTTTCATGTACTTATGTTTTTGAAAGAGATTGAGGATGCTATTTGAGGATTCTTGGTGGATTGTGATGCAATAATAATTATGGGACTAATAGTTAACAGGTTTTATTATGAATCACATACTGAATAAGGAGAAGTTAATCTGCAATAAGGTTTCAGTAATAGCAGCCAACTGACACATTCAAAGCAATCTGCTATATGTATATGGCCATACCTTATCTAAAAAAAACAGAACAACAAAGCCTAAATTACACTAATATCTGCTCAAATTAACTCCGCAAATATTGCTCATAAAACCATTATAAATGAACACCAATAGGCCTATACATATACCTAAATCGAACAACATATCAGATATTGAGATTAATCGATAGCAATAATATTTAGTCGAATTTAATATGTGTACACTCATTAATGGGCTTATGTCAAAATGTTAATTATTGACAGAAAGGTTAATTTAAAAGGGTACTCGCATTACCAAAAAATACCCTTAAAATGGCCAATGGCTCCCAAATCCCTCATTCCAAAATACTCACAAACGTTCAAATGGTGATGTCTCGTACTGTCTAATCTATGCAGCAGCAGTGCAGCAGTATGCATGCAGTGCCTATTGCATATGTAGCATTCAAGGGTATGAAATTTTGTAAACAAACAATGATCGTTCGTACATAGTTTTCATGGACTGGCATTTCTAATTCATTTAAAATTCCCATTAACTTTGCATGGAAAATCTTTTCATTCAAGCCATTGATTATAGAATACAACTTCAAGTTTGCAAATCGGTTTTAGCATTTATATATGATAAATACATTGGCATTGGGTTAACCATGTTTCAAAAAGCAGGCTTTAATTAAACACAAATATGTAATTATGCATGAATGGAATTATTTTTTTCCTCCTCTGGTGCTAGGTAACCGTTCTTCAAATGCCATTTACATATAGCAAATGCTTAGGCGTAAGAGAAAACAGATGTTTAATCATCCGATTTCGCTATAATATAGTATGCATATCAATAAACTTTATGTCATAAGAAAACAAATCTAATATGTCTCAGACAGAAATCTGCATAAAACATGACTATAAAACCGCAAAACGAACGCTGTGTAATAGCCCTATCGATCGAAAATTAGAGTCCCTGACTTTGCATGACCCCAATCAAGCTATATGAGCAACAACCTTCATGAAATGGTATCGATATGCGCATCAATTTTAAGCCCAGTGCAATAGGGAAAATAATTACTGTAATGGTACTTTGAATGGGCATCTTGTATAAAATTCTGAAGAATCGAGTAAAAGCAACGGGCATAGGGGCATTCAAAAGTCTATTTACAACCGGCTATTACCACATGTAACATATATAAAACATCATACAAGCACTCCAATTTAATTTACAAAAGCAATCTAGCCTCGGCTATAGTATAATAATGCTCCTAACTAATGAAACAAAGGCGAACATTTTTATTGACGACACCACCAATCAAATAAAATATTATGGAAGACTTTCACAATGTTTTAACCTCAATTTTGGAAAATACAATTTAAATGACCAGCTGTAGTACAGCAATGCATACTAAAATACGATTCAATTGTTTCAAGGAACCAATATCACCATAGTTCAGGATGTTAGAAATATGCATTGCGCAGTGGCTAAAGGTAACATTTATTTATAATTTATCCGAATATGCACCTTACATCTCATAAGCCTACTAAACCTTTCGTTAGGTCTAATGGCTTCCTGTTTTTATTCATAGACAGAGGCGCGCAAAAAATTGATGCTTGCCGTTAAAACCAATAATTGTTCCACGCGGGTTAAAGTGGCTCTTTTGTTGTTCGCGCTTATTATTTCTGACAATGCTTGCGAATCAATTAACCGCCTCTTAATAACAATACAGTGAAAATCTCAATTTCAATATACAACGATACAAACAAAGTTTAAATGTTCTAGCCAGATACCTGAGCCACCATTATTGTTATTATTATCACACCAATACGCAGATACTTCAAAATATTAAGTTACGATGGCCGACTGATTACATCATGTCTACACATTTATAACGCTACATAACTGGCGTCAGAATATGAAATCATCAAACTTAGGAAAAATCAAAATATAATTCAATAATGATTTTTTTATAGTATTGTTTCAATTTACTCTCGGTAAGATTATCGATAATATTTATATTGAAAGTTTCCATATTTATTATTTATATTTATAACGTTTCATGATATTGGTAAATCGACAGTCAAAATAACCCGCCGAGACAAAATTGTCAAAACAGCCACATAATAGGTGTCTGATAGTCATACTAAGAAGCAAAGAAAAACAACGTCTATCCTCGTTTTATCAATGTAACCCCTTTACGAATCTGTCCTCATTAACAAAACAGCAATATAATAATATGATGAATAATAATTAACGACTATATGCCTAAACATGTGTCGTTTTTACACTAACAGAAGCATAAAAACCAATTACTGCGGACCCAAACTGTACGACGATAGTGAATAGTATCAACGAAATTATTTCTGGGCTAAGATATCGAATGATAAGCCGCCCATCACAAATTAACAGTGTAGCTACTAGCATTACCAAAGCCTGTAGATTGGGCCACTGAATCATTAGGTCATATTTCAGGAAGAAGGCGTTGCATTGTTGCATCATAGCACGCATGATGCGGTACTTCCTCGACCAAAAAGTTGATTATAAATTGACATAGTCGATATAAATAATAACCCGAACAAGGCACCGCAATTCAGAGAACTCTGCCACAAAAAAGTATGCAGAAATAGCCTAAACCGTGGTCGCGAGTATGGGAGGATTTCATCTTCTATATGCTAAATAAGGACAAAAAGACACAATAATAGTACAACTTCAACACGAGCATTAACTTAAGTATAGTTTCAGAGTATTTACGTTCGCTGGTCATATTCTGATTATCGATACCCCAAATTTGACAGGTATGACGCCAAAACATCGCCAACAGATATATCGTACAATATTTTTTGTTGATTTAATCAGCGTCATTATTAGTGTATAAAGTATAAACCATGACACACGCTCATCAGCCTTCACTCGATGGCGCCGTGTATATATATGTACGTAAACACATCATGAAGTGGAAGCATTAGACCGAATTGACGGACTTTCCAGAGCGATGGAGGATGAAAGCCCCACTCATAACGTCTTGCACTTCGCCATGGTCATGAATGATATTGAAAAAAAAATCGTTTTCGTAAGACACGTTAAAATTCACTTTTATTCTAATATTATAATATTATTGCGTTAATCAACATAGCGCGATTACAAGCTCGCGTGCCGCAATTCAGGGCAATTAGAATAATTGAGCGCAATGCAACAATGCATTGCGATGGTGGACAACCATATTCGTCGATTTTGATTTCACAACCCTCGTACTTGTTCCAGCTTGATGCAGGTCGGTGACACATTGTGAATAGTAAGTGGCAATGACAGCCAGAAAAAGGCTTCGGCGTATACATGCCAGATACTAATGCCTTTATGTAGTAGTGACGTACATGGCAACAGTTCAAAATTAGATGTAGACAAATATTTACAAATCAAAAGTCGTGCAATAACACGATACTACTGTATTGCAATTTATATCTTGTCCTGGGCCACATCTGGCCAAGCATGAAATTTAATCTTAAACGCTGTTGTAAGACATCTCTAGCGGTCCCACGTGACAGAAGTAATTAGGACGCGTCCCTAGCGGCTACGTTATACATTTTCTATTCTTTTCATACCAATACCGATACAATTCAGGCTTGAGAAACATGAAACGGCGGACATATCAAATTGCTCTCGGAGATCATATTTGGTCGGATTTGTGATCACCTTACGCTACATGACCACAACCATTGAACTATACCGACAACAAGCGTTTGGCTAGCAAATCATATCAGAAATTAATTAGCATTTCAGCTTCATTTTCAAAAGTAGAACTTCTTCGATCTGGCTGGTAAATCACATTCTCAAACATTAATAATTTATTTCGAAAGATGTCTGTTAAATCATTGTTTTAATTTTTGGTGTATAATAAAGTGTTTGGAATTGACGCACTTATATCTAATGAATACTATAAAAGTATGGAAAACGAAATGATTAATTTCAATTTGTTATTTGATTAAAAATTTAGGCGAAATATCGGGCGGGTTCGAAAAAGCAGAAGCAAGACTTCTTCACTATACTATAGTTTCTGAAGTTACACAACGGGTGGAATTTGGCAACAATACAGACTAGAAAAACAGCGCGACTTTATTACCAAAACAAAAGGGTATGTAAAAGCAATGAAACGAAAACCACTTAGTTGATAGCCAAACAAATTACACATATATGACATCGAATCGACTGAATAATTTTAATAAGCGTGCTGAAATGAAATCGATTTTGATATGATACAGACACATTAATGGTATTGAAGCATAAAAACTTGCATATTTTCGAGAATAAGTAATGTGATGAGATTCAACGACGCGCCTCGGGCTGTAATTGCTTGACATTCGATTTATCTACAGAATTCGCACGTTCGAAAAATAACTCAACTTTGTATGACTCCGTATAATGCGCAAGGAGCGTATAAGAGACTGGTATGGTTTGATTAGCAACATGTTGTTTTTTATTAAAAGACGTATTTTACACGAATAGTATAAAAATGAGACTGCGTCATATATTCTAACATGCACTCTAATTCAATACATTACAACTGGCTTTCTGCGGACCGGACTACGCAGGATTCATGCATTTCAAATAAATCTTAATAATATTCAATGCCCAGCCACGCGGATGCGGCTCCAATTTCAATATATTAATATGAAATTAAAATCGGCAATATAATCTGAAGTGAAGGGAGTAAGTAGCCTTGTTATCCCAAACATCGGGTTATAACAATCTCAAGTTGTTGTCATTTCATTCTGATATCCGACAAATGCGCACCAACTCATGAACGACATGGGAAATAGAGTGTTTATGATTGAACAAATATTTCTGCAATAAATATAAGTTTGTTTGCTGAAGTTGTTTGAATTGTCTGCGTGTCGGAGCCTGAAGTAATTCCGTTACATTCCCTTATTTAAATAGTAAGTAAATGAGATGGATATTACCGACATTGAGACAAAAGTTTTGCTTATACTGCTGTGTGTACTATATTGTCGGTGTGGCAATATAACGCTTTACATTTAAAATAAAACCCCGCTGCATATAGACGCCATTCAATTTTAAATCTTATCTCGGTGAATTTTAAATCTTATCTTGGTGAGTACAAGTCCGCGAAAAAAGTTTGTAAAATCCTTTAATAGTTGAGCGACGAATTCAGTTACATTTTGCTTGCGCGTCAAAGGTGCGCTCAAACACATTAGCAAATTCTCAACACAAACACAATCTACAACAACGGCTTCAGCTAGCAGTCTCCGGTGACCAGCTCAGTGTTATGAGAATAATTAAATTGCTGTAAAAAAATCTCTGTCTGGCCAAGTTTAAGAATAGACGATTTGGCCATGAAAAAACTCAATCCTCTTAACCATACTATCAATGAACACTAAGCGACCGTAAACCACCGTTCCTCTTATGCCATACCTCAACATACACAATGTATATATTACTGGGATCCAGGAAGCCCAAAGAAAAATCGACAATGATGTTCGCCTTTTCTGCATATTGTATTGTGTACTGCACAATGTTTGTTAGGCAATTCGTTTTTACATTGTATCTCGGGGAAAACAATATCAACGTTGGAAAAGGAAACTAACGTGAATGCCCTATATTGCAGTTTCGCTATATGACCAGACGAATCCAATCGCGAATTGAAATATATAACTTGTCGCATATTCTGCGATAAATTACGACAACGACTAAACTGATATAGATCGGGAACAGAACTTCGTTGCGTTGTTACTAAAAAAATCTAAGCTGAAGATCACGGACTATCCTTTAGGTTTGGCGTAAACTATATTTCATCGTCCCGTCAAAAAATAAGCACCACACGGCGATAGAATATGATAGAAGAAACATTTCCTTCTATAAAATCCATTGGAGTTACTCCAAGTAAACTTTGATTCGTCCACTCAACCAGAATCAGAAGTCATGGTACAATGGCCAGTTGTATAAACGCCGTTTCACAAAATGAACCTGGAAATCTTCAAGTAGGCTATCACACCGCTCAAAACGACCACCATCATACCTTTTGCTTTCCTTCTATGATGCTTATACCTTCTTGAATTTCTTAGTCGACAGTCAGCGGTGCGTTTTTCCAGGGGTATTTTGCGTCTACCAGCAAGAGTACAATGTGCAGCTGCTAGGTGACAGCTCGGAAGTCGGGACACCCCGAGAATAATCTTGCAAGGAGCGTCCATAAGGCTCATCGTCGCCATGTCCGTCTGACAATCATATCCACACAGACAAATGAAACCCCCCAATAGCATTAATATTCACATAGTAGTCGCCCAGGAGCGAAAAGATCAATCCCTATACTTTAACGCTTATCTCCGCCTAAGAAGATCTCGTGAAAGATAATTTTAAAAGCTAAAGTTTATAATACTGATGATTATGTATATTTATCCATATGCAAATGAACCCACCATAAGAAATAAAATACATTGATAAGTATAGAAATGTAATTATTTCGCATGTAGAATATTTAATACCGTAGACATGAAAATTTAAAATTGCATAACTGTTTCAAATATTTTTTTTTCACATTCGATTCATCGGAATTACATGTACGGTAAATAATTAGCTTTTAAAATAATGTGCAGTTAATTCAATTGTTATCGAAACGACAAGATAAAAAATTCCGAAAGACGAAACCACGTTCTACAAACAATTCCATAACCACACAGAACGTCCTCCTCGATACTAATCGCGAAACGTGCTAAATATTAGGGATGCGACAAGATTCGGACTCGTGCTCGGATTCGTGGCCGAATCTCTCCTAATTTGATACTCGGATTCGGCCCGAGCCTTTGATGATTTTACCCGAGTCCGTGACGTCATATGTCACGCGATAGTCAATCGCAGACTGAAGACGCATTCGACGAGAAATTCAATATTTTCGTTCTGTTTTGCCACGAGACTGTCCGGCCGATTTTCTCTCACTATTTCTCTCTTTTATCCAACTATCTAACAAGGGGCTTGCCTAAGTGAAATTGAAAGATTGCGTCAAAAATGAAATTCACGACAAAGTATGGCTTTTAACGAACTAAAAAGTATGCCTCGTTAACAGCGAAATTCCGCCTGACGGTGTTTGGTGAATATTTTGCTAAGTCCTATTTTGAACATCTACTAATCATCGACCATTAATCCGTAGTCAGCGAGTACTCACATTTATAAATAAAAATAAAAATCGTGAAAATTGATTTTTGACAGAAGTGCAACTCGGGAACGTCCGTGGCGTTATAATCGTTTACACGCTCGCATTCAGCGCCGATCAAATGCATGAAATATGAAACTATTTCTTAATGTTAATCTGAGTCGATTTTTTTATCGTTACTTAATCAGTATTTACATATGCCATCATGATTGGTGGGCAAATCGAATTATTCGATTAACGAATACCGGAATGTAAAAAAAGGCTTTTTTCGAAATTTTCTAGAAGAATTGGTGGGCAAATCGAATTATTCGATTAACGAATACCGGAATGTAAAAAAAGGCTTTTTTCGAAATTTTCTAGAAGACTGTAAACTCGGTAACAACATGGCGTTTTTATTTCCTAATTTTGTCATAATCGCTGATTATTTTTTTTCACCACGGCATACATCGTTGTTTGGTTTTTATATTTCGGACATAATTATGAGTTCACATCGGCGAAGATGTTAAAGAGCTATTAAGGAGTGAACACAACACAAATTAATTTTCTTTTCTATCTTCTGTGTAGGATTTGATCCTCCATATCACAATTTGTAAATTAAGATCCCAATTTTAAGCGAACAATATTATCATTACGGTCTCCGGGATGCGATATTTGTGAAGCTGATAGTTGACTTTTTTATGCTTTTAATTTTATATCGTGTCCGTATTATTTTCGTATTATAATAATAATTGAAAACTGAGAATTCACGCAACTCGGCTTCGGGTTGAAACAGTTATACTAAATACTTAAATAAATCGGCAATAATGGCATTCCTTAGTGATCAAAATAATATTTTTCCCTAAAATCTCGAAAAATTTCCATAACATATTTACTATTCTGTTACGCCGTTTCTTAATTAAAAAAGCGGTGTTTACCGGCTTTATGAAAAATTAGAAATTGAAAAGATATGATAGTCGCAGATAAAAAAATAAAAAAAACACAAGATTTGTCACATTTGTCGTTTCAGTCTGTTAGCGAGAGCGGTAGGTATATTCTTACTCGTAATTCGTTGTAAATTAAATGTTAATAAATTTTATTTTGCTTTTCAATGCGCCGTGATTTGTATTATTAAAAGTGGTTGCGTCGGAAAAAGAGAGTTCTTCTCTCCTTTTGGGCGCCCATAACGACGTTGAATTCGTTTCTTATCTGTTTCATGGAGAGAAAGAATAATACGCCTTTCTTAATTGCAATCAACAATTGCTCATTCTCATTTATCATTATCGGCGCCAACTAAGAAAGATGATTGTCTCAAAATCAATAGTGTTTATGTGCAACGTTATGAATTACCGATACATAGTCTCATTTTACACAATGTTTAATTTACGACCAATATACGCGAACAACAGCTTCACTTTAGGCGTTTATTTCGGAGCTAATGAAAAATTATTGGACTCGGGACTCGGATACGAGTCCAGCTCAAATACTCGGATTCGGCCGAGCCGAACCTTTTTGGATTCGTCGCATCCCTACTAAATATAGAACATAAATGTCTGATATTAATTTGCTTAGGGTATCTTCCCTATCCTTGAAATACAGAGAAAACAAGAGAATTTATTAGGAGACTTTGAACTTTACTCAGGAATTATTGCTATTTTTATTTTGCTCCATGTCACCTTATCCTAATGTCTGAATAGAAGTCCGCCTGATTGCTAATTTCCACAGAAACCTACAGAGGACATCGAGAAATCTTCAATTAACTCCTATTCTGAATTTGAAATATACCAACACGCCTGAGGTGATATGCTCCAATACGCAAACATTTGCCATTTTATTGTCTTGCTCACCAGCCTTACATGTTGGAAAGTACTACGAAGTGAAAGACTAATTGCTACATTCTCACTGTTAAATTGCCATTCAAGACAATAAACATACATTTCCGGATCGCTAATTTTCGTTAAATTTTATTGCTCGCGTACAACATTCGGTTTTGCTTCTACTAATAAAGATTAGGCTTGTCTGCGAATGTCCATTGAATAACACACGGCTGAATATGGACAATAAAATAAGTGCTATTAACAGCGGAATACATTTGTGACTAATCTTCCACATGCAATAAACGTGAGAAGCTTTCAGCATTGTGAAAATTTTAACGTCGAGAACAGGCGCCATCTAATAAATAGGTTTATACATTTAACAAGATATATTAGAAAAATTGGGGCCATGCTAAAACGGAACTAGAGACCGTACGGAGAAACGCGAGCGTAAAAGGAATACGATTGTAAACACACAACAATTCTAATGATTTTAAATAATAGTTTTTAACTATAACCGGCATTACTTTAAATACATTTGTCGATATTAAAGTTGAAAAATCAAAAAGTATTAAATATTTATTTTGATTGATTTTACGTCTGGAAGCAGTCGAGTTGGCTTCTATCGATAAAATTTCCTGGCTAATATATTCCTTCAATAATAATTTATTTTCAAAAAAACCCTTTACAAATAATTTATCGAATTCGGAATAAATCCAAAATACAATTTTCAATGATACCAACGCATCTGTAATTTCTAAAGCTTAGTATCAGGAAGATTTTCACTAACTTGAATAACAACTATTTATTTTATTGAATCATCATCAGTAGTTGAACATCTATATATTTAAAACAGCGCCTATTTGATTCTTCCTTGAAAATATCACAAAGCTGTTTACACTCAAACATGTCTTTCTAAATGACCTCATCTGTGAACCTGGCAGTGGATTCTGAGACCTTGGCTTAATTTTCAAATTTAAATATTTGTACTCACCAAATTTATGAATAAAAGACATTCTTCTATCTTCTTATGATATAATGTCCAAGTGATTGTGTTGACAATAATACAATTTAATATATAATTCTGATGGTTTAATCCAAATATGACAAAAGCTTAGCGCATTTTATACTAACAAAAGCAAACAAGAAAATAATACAATAACAATTGTTCAGACAGAAAGTGGGCCATTTCAAACCAGATTTTTCATGTTTGGCAAATCAATTTGGAGCATAAAACAAATAGCACCTGAAAGTAGTAAACTATATCTCTATATTATGCTATGTTTAACTGAATTCAATTGATTAATTGTTAATATTTCATGCAGCTATATTCATTTTATGGGTATTTGTTGTGTTATAGATGTCATGGCCAAACAGAGTACTAAAATAGTGTCAATACAAATTGGAATCTTCACAGTGAACATGCACCATGTATTCTTATTGGTGTATTCATATAAATTTGCTTATGCTATTAATTAAACCTTAACAATTGATTGTTCATTAGTTAAATATTGCGCTATAAATCTGCACATCTGTCATAACCTGGAATAATCATACAATTCATATATAGATTTTGCACAATTTCAATAGTTCTATCAATCCTAATAAATCTGCCTATAAATCCTCTAAACTTTAATAATAGCCCGGCAAACTTGAAACTAAAGATTTGGTCCATTTAGGCCCTCCACAAAAACGGAAAAGAAATAGCTTTAGACAAGCCCGTATCAGATTCAAGTACGATAGTTATAGAAGGTACTGTATAATTGCCAAACATAACATGAATATGGCATTAAACATTCTCAGTTTGTGTTTCTATGATCCAAGATGAGTTGACCGCTTGTTATATACCGGTAAGTACTGTTTCATATAAGTACCCATAAAAATATAAAATTATGAAGTACAATATATTTCATATAAAATGAAAAAGAGCTTATGAACTTGGAAAAATCTCACATTACCTAAAAAGGCCCATATGCTCAAAATTTGATCAAACTGGCATCATTTTCATACACTACGATTTTGAAAATCTCCACTTCTAGTCTAGCTTTATCCTCACTATTTCTGAAAAAATCAATGAACAAAATGAACAGCACACTACAATGTCTAGCTGAAATGGTTCTATAAATTAAGACGCTGCTGAGCTGCCTTTGAGGAAATCTAGGCTATTTAATTCAATACTAATAGTTGAACGTTCCTGCAATAGCAATTCTAATAGTCTCTGAACAATGTCCGGTATATGTCACTGCGATATCACAAAGCAAAGGAAGTAATATTGGAAGGCTGTACTGCTTAAGACGGTCAATTAGTCAGAAACTGAGTCACCTATAAACCGGTTTTAGACTAAAAAGGAGTATTGAAAAGAAATTGCATGGTGTCATTTTATAATGAGTTATCTTTATTGAAATGTGTCATGTCGAA